CTTGACAATTTGTCATTGAGTGGACTCCGCAGCTGTCGCTGGAGTCGAGACATGCGTCAATCAAAATAGCTCCGCCTCCCAAGGTTCCCTCCTCCCTCTCCTTCATGTTCTGCATGATTCTTCCCGAGGCTTCAAGGATGTTCTGAATGCGTGTAGACAGTGCAAACGTTTTAGGCACCTGCGCAATTAAAGTTGTCTTTGGATCACATGTTAGACGCTTTAATAATGGAATTGTGTGTCTGAGCATTTCATTTGTAAGTGTTATTTCTCCCTCCAGCGACTTTGCTTGTCTCCGTCCACCCCCTCTTTTCACCCCCTCCTTTCTTCCTTCTCCTTCTCTCTCCATCTCACATTTACACGTACACATGTTTTTAATGGAGCATCACAACTCCTGCTGCACTCCGATGGATGGTATTCACAGAGAGCCTCTTTCATCCAGCAACATTTGGCTGAACTTTGATATAAATGCTTATGAAGATCATATTCCTCTAGAATTGTCCCTTGTCAATCCTCGAGTTCCTGCTCGTATTCACATCAAGCTGTCAAGAGCATCTTAAGTGTGTAAATGTATACAATGAAGTGAATCTTTTTGTATGCTCCTGTTTAGCCTTTTTAGACACAATTACTGCTGTGCAAATGGTAAACACTTGTTCCCTGCTAAGCAAGTTGATGATAACTCATGGTGTGTACATTTGGAGGTTTTCCTCATCACCTCCACACAGCACTGGCAAGCACTCAGTTTTAATAAGACCTGAATTCTCTGCATAATTAGCAGGACTAGCCATAGTTTTTCTTTGAAAGTACTGAAAATAAATAATATGCAGTAGCTATGACCAGCCATGACTCAAGACTCCAATGTAGAAATTAATATAATATAATATAATATAATATAAAAGTATGGATGGATTTTCATATTTTAAGATAAAAAGTCTGGGTCTTTTATGTACATTTTATGGATGTACTCTTATAAAACAAAAGTCATTATTTAAAAAGAAAAATAGCGTGATAACGTTTTTAATACAGTTTTATTACAGACGTTTATATAACAAAAAGATAAATATCATCTCCTAGGACATAATTGCTTAATGTTGAAGAAACACCCTCATCTCATCTCTCAGATCATGAGATGGAAAGTTAGAAATTAGTTAAGAGTTTGGAAATGTCAAGAGGAGTTTTATGTAGTCCGTGTTCTCCACAGACCTGTGGTTGGCAGCCCTGGGTCGAATGCATTCCCACCTCCAATGAGACTTCACAGTAAAAAGGGCAGGTTTTCCACAAAGATGGGTTGAAGCAATGGTCCATTGGGTGTTAGATTACAGAAAGCATGTCAAAGAGTTTGCTAGCCTCTGCCTGCTCTTGCTTTGGACCCTTCGTCCATCAGACAGGTGGAGTTAGCCCAATCATCTGGGACTTTAAGCTTATAGCTCTCTCCCTCTGAGCCTCACACAGTTCTGCTTAAATGGGATTTCAGCTGCATCCTATGCCGCTCTACTGATCTCACATCCAAGCCTGAAGCTCTCACTGATGGCAGGTCAGCGGTGCTGTCCGTGGTGCTGATATTTGCTGGCTGCTGTCCGTGGTGCTGAAAGGACAGACGACTTCTCTGCCATTGCAGCGGGCTGCTTTCTCCCTCGCGACTAGTCACATACCGCATTTCAATTATCTCTCCTCATATGGACCAAGCGCTCTGAAGTCGTGAATGCACAATCTGAACCATCCATTTGCTAACCGTCCGCCATTCCTGCTTAGCACAGCCCCGGATGCTGTTCTGCAGCTACAAAAAGGGGCAGATTTTTTCCGGAACTGCCATTTCGTGTGGGTAGCTGGCGGAGGAGGACTCTGTTTTTAATCATGTCAATTTGATTTGGCTAATTAAAAGAAACATCAAGAGGAAATAATGTGAGGCAGAACCGCAATGCTTAATTGAATATGAATGCACTAATTCGAGTGTGATCTTTAAATATAAGCTTGACAAAAGATGCTTATGTATTCAGTGGGCGTTTTGCTGCGTATGTGCTAATTGTACATTCACGCCATGCACTCGCTCCCTAAAGTGCCCTCAGTGCATCCTTATGCTGTCCATTACTCTCCCATGTAAGAGCAGAAAGCATGGCTAATTCTATTTGGTTCTAGCTCAGATTGCACACTGACCTGGGAACCAGGCTTTGATCAGCAAGTGTTGAGTGCTTAAATCTGCGCTAAAACATCATTAGGGGGAAGATGACAATTCGGAGTGGGTTTTCTCACGGTCATAAGTGGACAGAAACATGCCAAATGCTTTGTCAGGGTAACCTCTTCTGCTCTCTTCATTGTTATGCACTGTGTTGTAGTCATGCATCACTCTCAAAGGCAGATAATGACTTTAATGACAATGACCGTACCGGGAGAAAGAGAGGAATGTTTTCTATTTGGATTTCCAACTGGTTTCCCAACCTGCATATGTTTAGCAAGACCTGTTTGGTTAAAAATGAGAATGCCACGCACGCACCCAGGGCACGTTGGCATGTGCTGATAAAGTGCAAGATGGGGTCGCTTTGAGAGACACCTACATTTATGTTGTTTTGTTACTTAAAGACAATAAAGTCACTGTCACTTCCAGCACAATGCATGCAATGCAGCTGTACAAAATGATCCTTCTGCAGGGAGAACAGTCTGTCTGCTGCGTTAAAGCGGAATTACATGGCTAATATACTGTATTTGGAATAGCAAAGGATTGAGTGTTACAGGAGCCAATTTGATCTAATTTGAACTACTTTTCATTCCAATTATGCTTCATATTTCTTCTCTCCCTGCCCGTCTCCATGTGTGCATGTTGGCTTTATTGCACAGTGCTGCGTGCTGTATGGAACTGCTATTAAGAAATTTAGTCACTAATCATTTGACAAACAAAACGTCTTCTTTCACAAGACCTTTTTGAAGATTTTCCACAGATTCTGTTCTGTTGTTAGCCTTTCAAAACAGGCCTTTTAATTTATGATCAACCCCCCCCCCCCCCCCCCCACATCTACTACTTGCAGAAAACGACCCAATAGACCCTTCAGTTTTTCCCTTATGCTCTTTCTTCAACGAGTGCAGAGCATTATTTAAGGGCAGGTTTCAAAAGGCAGAAAGGCTGTTATCACTTTCAAGGTCTTTTGAAAAGTCCTCTTGTGCATGATCACAGTAATTAATTAGAAGCAAATGAGAAATTAAGCCCGCATTTTTTGTGATCAAATAAATTTTTCTCCACTCACGGAGTGCATATTGCTTCAATAAGATGTCTTCCGCCATGCACACACCTTTATTTATGGATACTGATGAGGCCAGAGGAACAGAGGGGACCCCAGAGCTCTGTACGACACCTTGCTGCACAGTGATCTGTTTTTCAGGGCCAAATTTACTGAGCAGTTGCACCACATTTGTTCGTAGTAATTCATCTCAAAAACTTGTATTATGTCTTATTCACTTCACTTGTTCCCTTATTCATCTAACCACCTGCATTCTAGCTTAACAGGGTGATAAATTCACTGAAATAGTGCAGCTCTGTGGGTATTTTAACGAAGTCATTGTCATTATATATAAATTAGGTCTTATTGATTTATTTATATTTATTTATTTATTTTATTTATTTATTTATTTATTTATATAAAGATAACAGTAGTAGTAGTAGTAGTAGTAAGAAAATAATAATTATTATAATTATAATAATAATAGCTAACTATTATTTATTTATTTATTTATTTTAAAGATAGCATTATTATTATTATTATTTTTAATTTTATTATTGTTATTATTATTATTATTGTATGGTGCAATTGCTTTTATACTATGTATTCATGGAAAAACAAGCTGTTTGTTTCATTTTGACCATGGCAGCATTTCTTTCATTCACTGAAAGTGCTGGGCCATGGATATTTTAATTAATTCATTTTTCATTTGTATATAAATTAGGCTTGATTTTTATGTATGTATTTATTTCTTAATTTATTAAACCATTACGACTAACATTGATTGACTGATTGATTGATTGAATGGTGCAATTATTTATAAATGTATACTATATCATTCACAAAACTTTGTGAAAAACTTGCCTCAGTTTTAATCCAACTATTCCACAGAAACCAAGCATTAAAGTTTTTTTTTTTCTTTTTTAAAAAGAGCTATTTTGTGTTTTCTGTTGAACAAGTAGTAATTCATCAAATGATGATTAAATTATGGAGATGAACATACAGTGCCATACAGTATCTCCAGACTCTTGATATATGACTGGTTATATGATGTGTAATTTCTACAGTGTGCTGTATATTGCAGTAGTCTGCTGTAACCTCCACAGTCTAGCACTCAAAACTGACCTGCAAGATCAGATGTTACTGTTGATTTGCTGTAACCATTGAGCAGTTATCGCAGATTTGCATATTCCCTTTAATGAATTCAGCACACATACAGCTCACCCAAATAAAAGGAGTATGGTGTGATCATGCCGCTGCATACTCCTCATTAATAAACATGCATCATTTACACTCTTCACCTGATGCCCGGACTACACTCACATTCTGTCTTAATATCTGTCATCCTCTGTTGTCAGACGCTGTCACTAGTGCACTACTATGCTCAGCCACTATATGGGTGAAAGAGAGAGGTGTTGATTGACTGAGAGGCCTTCAGGAGGCTCAGAGCTGTTTAAATCACTAGCTGCGAGCTGGTTTGTGAATATTCATCTGTGAACTGATCAGCAAATTTGCAAAGCGAATGAGGGGGAATCTGTCAACTAGCCCAGTCTGTTACTCTGCAAAGTGCATTAAAGATTGATTTCATTATGCTCAAAGATCCTCAGCTGAGGGAATGACACTGCCAGGTCTTGATTTTGATCAAACTGGCCTCCTAATAGAAATTCACAATAAAAGGTCAGAAATGATTGCACTTTGATGTGAGTCACAGACAAAATTTAGGGGCACATGCAAGTTTGTAACCGTTTTTGGTAATAAAATAACATACTGTCTTTTTTTTTTTTTTACTTTCAGAGGCCTGGTCAGAGGATTTCTGGTGGTGACGTCTTGCCGGTGGAATGCAGATGCACTTCTCTAAGGGGAGCTGAGGTTTGCTGTGGAAAGAAATCATGTATTTGACCTACTACCCACAAAACGAAAATTACAACCGCAGCAGTAATCCTACTTTCACCAGAGGGTGAGATGCATAAATCGGTCTTTTAACATGTCGAGTCAACTAGATTTTTAGGGCAGTTTTAGATTTCAAAGCACTAAGTACCGTGTGAGTTTTTTTTTTTTCTTACATGGTCTTTCAGAAGTGTTCCTCAATGGAGATACTCAGAAGAGAATCAAGATGGAGAATCTAGTGAAAAGAAACTCTTAAATATTGTTATTGCTTTTTAGAAAACTGGGACCTTACCAATTCTGCAGTGCTATTTTGGAAAAGGCCAGATATATTAATACGCTAGACTGGGAATAAATCTCTCCTCTGCAGTGGATTAAGAGAAACGGAACATTAGAAAAGGAGGATTAGGAGCACACTTGGAAGATGATGACACGGAAGTGGAGGTGCGGCGCGAAGTTCTCGCGGGCCTCCTTTTGGCTGGGGCTCATGGTGGCCATAGCTATCACTGCAGCTCTGGAGTTTGATGGTCTGCCGGGTCAGTGGGTTCGCTACGGACCCTGGGAGGCGGGAGCCACCGGAGAGCTGAGCTTCACCATGAAGACGAACATCAGCAAAGCTGTAGTGCTGTACCTGGATGATGGCGGCAACTGTGACTTCCTGGAGCTCCTGATCAACGATGGCCGTCTGCAGTTGCGCTTCGCCATCCACTGCGGCGAGCCGGCCTCGTTGCACATGGAGACGCACATCAACGACGAACGCTGGCATCGCGTACTGCTCACGAGGAATTACCGTGAGACCATGCTGGCGATGGATGGGGAGAGCAAAGTGGTGGAGGTGAAGTCCAAGCGAAGGGAAATGATGGTGGCCAGCGACTTGTACGTGGGTGGGATCCCACCGGACGTACGTCTCTCGGCCCTCACCTCCAGCACGGTCAAATACGAGCCGCCTTTCCGAGGCCTGATCGCCAACTTGAAGTTAGGAGAGACTCCTCCCGCTCTCCTGGACAGTCAGGGCGTGAAGAACGATCTGGAATACCTGTGTACCGAACAAAACCCCTGCAGCAACGGAGGACGCTGCTCCATTCATGACAGTGAGGTGCTGTGCGATTGCTCCAATACTGGCTACAAAGGGAAATACTGCACTGAAGGTAAGCAAGATGATGTGCTTCAAGGCCTTACATAACATGAAGATGTTCTTATCACAATGCCTAACTGGATAACGCACTTAGCTGTCAAGGTAAAATGTTTGCTTTTAAGGAACTCAAGGGCTCAGGAGTTGGAAATTATTAAACATTATCTGATCTGGTCTGTCTGTTTTCTAATCGTTTGGTTGAGGGTTTGTCTTATCTTCTTCTTCTGCACTTAAAATGCAGTTTGACTGCAAAAATGTTTGCATTATCTATGATGTAACTGAAATTTTTAGGAAAGTTGGGTGATTCAATCATGTTACAAGGAATAGCTCAGCCAAACATGGAAATTCTGCCATCACATGGGTTTGTAACAAAATGAGTGTGATTTTCTTTCTTTTGTGGAACACAAAAAGAGACATTTTGAATAATAGTCTGGTTGCTCTTTTCTATGCAATTACAATAAATGGGATTTCAAGCTTTGAAAAGGGTGCAAAAGCAGCTTAAAAGTGGTTCATGTGAATTGTGCACTATATTTAAAGTCTTCTGAAGTCATATAAGAGCTTTGTGTGAGGAACCGACTTAAAATTAAGACTATATTCACTGATAATCTTCCTCTCCAGTGAACTGTTATCCAGTGTGTATCCAAATCAGTGAACCAGTGAGTTGAAGATTAGAGCAGATGTCAACATTTTCAGGGAGTTAAATTGTGTAAATTACACACAAAGCTATTACATGACTTCAGAAGTCTATGAATATAGCATGCAAGTCAGATGGACCACTTCTATGATGCGTTTATGGTACTTTACCATTTTGCTGTTTGACTAACTCAGTTCTGATTAACTTTTATTATATTAACAAGAGTGGCCAGGATGTTCTTTAAAAATATCACCTTTTGCCTTCCTCAGAAGAGAAAGTCATACAGATTTGGAATGACATGAGGTTGAGTAACACAAAATAAATATAAAAAGGAGATAATCTCTTCCTTGAAGTCATGATAAAGTGTAAGTTATTGCAGATTTTTTTATTCCATATTGTGACATACATTCAGGTGTAACAGGAACAGACTTGGTTCTACGCATCATTTTTTGATTGGTTTTGAGATGTGGGTGTAGCACTAAAAAAATGGGGGTAGATGAAAATAGGTGAAGTTTTAGCAAACTAAAAAACTGGAGAAGTCCGGCATACATTATGACATTTTTATTTTAAAATGACAAGGTCAAAAAAAAAAAATCTATTACAGGTATTTAGAAAATAGGTTGAATTTTCGTTTCATGTCGTCGACTTTAATGAAGCACTGAACTTTTACAGTGGTGTGTTTTAGATGGTCTGGTATTACAGCACATTAGCCTTTTAAAATGCCTTGAGAATTTATAGCTAATGAGATATCTTTATAGATCTCATTAGATCAGGTTCCGAGGGTTTGCGTGTTTACAGCTGTTTAGAATTTTTTTTTATTTTAACTGTAAATAAAGGATTGATATGCAAAAAAAGCATCACAAACATGTGACAGAAAGATAAGGATAGTACATTATTTGTACCCTGATATCAGCTTCATTCAAATCAAATGGTTTCTTTTGGCCTTTTTATTACTGAAAATGTAGCTAAACAAAATAGGGGGAAATGTAGTTATAATAAAGAGATACAGAAAATTCAGAAATATAAATGAAAATCATGTTACCTACCAAAGTAATAATCCTAATTCATCTTAGCATTATCACCATGAGACATCTTTAATTTGATATCAGTATTATTATGCAAAATCCAATAAAAAGCACCAGTAAATCATATCCAAGCCTTTTGGATTGATGTATTTTGCCAGAAAATGATCATGCCTTACCTCTACAGACCTGTAGTAGAAGAAAAAATGTTTGCATTTGTAATTCTAGCTGTGTACGATCTGTATGCATGTGTAGCATATTCCCCTACTAATTTGATGAAAACATGGACATGTGTTGGAACATGGGAGAGCAGTTTGCCATAGAAACTGTTCTAGGTGATATATGTAGACTAATTAGGGTCACTCAGCAATGTCTCAGCCCTTTGGAGAAGTCACCGTCTGTCATATGGCGGTACGGTGTTAAACCCGAGGCCAAATCTGCATGACTTCATACAGAAATATATTTGGCCCGTGTCCTCTTCTAATTGAACAGGCAGCGAGGACAGAGACAGTGGCAGCTCACGCTTGGCTTTTCACTTAATGCAGTCTCAGGTTACCCACTGTGGAGTCGACAGGAAACGGGGCTTCGCTCTGTACCAAGAGAACGCCAGCAAGTACGTTTCGAATTAAGATGAAATTTTCCGGCGCTTCAAAAGAAGAGAGATATGTGGGACGGGGAGATGTTAAGAACAGAAAAATAAATCATCCTGAAAGTTGATTGAGCAAATTGGATTTGACACTGGTAAAGGACAATATTAAAGAGAACAATTGGTTTTCGCATGATTTAATTCCTTGCTTTTACTCCAGGGATTATCCATTGGAAGACAGACTTATCAAACACAGTATTTGAGTGTTTGAGTGTTTAAAAAAATGCATAGATAATCAAGAGTCACAGTGTAATTATTATTTCTAGTTAAGTATTGGTATAACAAATCCTCGGAAGAATTAGCAGAGACTCATCAAATGGTGGTGGTTAATTACACGCATGTCTTTTCATATTTAACAATATTCCCAGGCTGTGAGTGGGAAGTGGTCTCCATCGCCGTGCCCTTGTCAAACCTCCCAGGTGAAATTTTGCAGGCTTTTACCCTCAAAGCTAAGAGGGCCGTCAGTATCAATTAAGGCTGCCCTCGCCACAATAGAAATCTAGGCCAAAGCGATATATCAGCAGTGTGTGCATCTTTTCTCTCGCATCTGCATCAGGCATGCTAATGAGGTCTCAATCCAATATATGAGCAGTGCATAAACTGCAGTGCTGGTCAGATGCTGTATTATCACCACCGCTTCTGTGACGTGTATATATATATATATATATATATATGTATATGTATATGTGTGTGTGTATATATATATATATGTATATGTGTGTGTGTGTGTGTGTGTGTGTGTATATATATATATATATACACACAGCATTAACACGGGCCTGCTGGGAGTTCTTAATATCAGTACAGTTACCATTTTAAAAGGCACATAAGCAGAATTGCACACAGGCACAAGTGTTCCGCATTAACGGGATGCTTTCATATGCCTGGAGATGACGAAAGCAGGCTTTTACTTTTACTTTACTTTACAGTACTACAGTCTTGTAGGGCTGGACGAGATTCTGCTGTATCATTTATACTGCAGTATATCCTCATTGTGGTTTAAAGAATCTGGCACCAAGCGAAAAACTATAGTAAGCAAAAATAATACATTCTGCAAACTGTCACAGATGGGTGCTCTTCTCTTCTCTTCTCTTCTCTTCTCTTCTATTATTAAAATAATAATATAAAATATTATTAAAAGCCCCTATTATTTTCTATTGTATTTTATAGTATTTGATTTCATTCATTCTATAACTTGTATTTATGAATAACTTGTACTCACTCACTGTACTCACACTAATGCAAACCAATTGTTATAATATAATATAATATAATTCATTCATTCATTCATTCATTCTATTATATTATATATAAAGCATGATATGATTTTAATGATACATTTTTCTAAGTTATTTTACATTTATGCATTTGGCAGAGGCTTTTATCTGAAGCGACTTAACAGCTCACTGGCATTGTATTCCAGGTTTACCTTTGATCAATTCACGGCTTACCTGGGAATCAAACCCATGACCTTGGCAATGCTAGTGCCATACTGTTTGAGCTACAACGGTTTCAATATTGCAAAAATAACTGTTTCATTATGTATACCGTTACCATGATTTACAATTACTCTTATATTAAGTGATATAAGGTTTTTGGTCATGCCGCCCACCCTTACAGTCTACAGTCTTCTATAAAAGCAAGAGCAAAGCACTGAAGAGGTCTAGTTTGCATCAGACAAAAACCTTTTCATGTAATGTTGGACTTCATTACTACACTGGTCTTTTTACTCTGTATGAGAAACTCAATTCGCAGAGGCTTTTCTTTAAGTGTTCAGGGAACGAGCATTCACTGTGAAAACAAGGCCATCCGCTCCCCAGGATTAAATAATGTAGACTGAGAGTCTGTCTTATTTATCAACACAAATTAGTCTGGGTTGCCCTCAACATCGAATGTGTGTGCCAAGGATGCAAGCATGTCTGTATTTTGTTTTCAGACAGGCATCTGCTGCCATTGTGCGGTTTTGTATTTCTTTTGGGGCCAAAATGCAAGTGAGTGAGGTTAGCTACTTTTACCCGGCTCAGGGCTTGTGTGTTTTGGCCGGTAGCCGGTTGTGCGGTAATCAGCACCATAGTTTACCGCACTTGGCAGAGGGCACAAGATGCCAAATAATGGTTTACACACTAGGCAGCAATTCAGCAAGTAATTAAAACAGGACATGGAGTCTTTTCAGCTGCCTTGTTAATTTTGCTTGGTGGCCATTTGCAATGCAACACAGTCCCTGCCTTTTGAAACCTTATAATAGCTTCCTGTGAGGAACAGGCTGAAATTGAAGATGGTTTTTATTGATAATCTTCCCTTCCAGTGAGCTGTTAACTTGAAACTGCTGACCGAATCAGGAGTAAATAACATTTATTTTTGTGTGAAGTATTCCTTTTAATGCTAATTTTTTTATTTACAGATGAACTGCGGTTAATAGAAGGAATTAATTTGTGTTACAGTGGTGTTACTAATAATGTTGGATTCATTTGAATACAGGAAGTTCAAATATCAGTTTCACATATAGATATATAGATAATGACATCTATCTTTGGAGTTAGTGGGGGAAAAAAATCTGTACATGAGAATGAGAATTCATATAAAACTTAATTTTCCAACTCGGTGTCCCTCATGATTCACCCACTTACTTTCTTTCATGCAATGAACACAGTTATCGGTAGGTCTACATGATCTGTCAACACACCACCTGATTTTTGCGGCAGGCCTTTGCAAGG